TTGGCCTCGCTGGGGTCTCCCGAGGGCTCCGTATCCTCCAGGCAGCAACAGCCCTGCCGTGCTGGAGGGCAACCCCACGCCCTTTACGGCTGCTCGGGGATGAGCGCGTGCTGGTTTTGGAAAGCCAGGCTTTGCTGTGCGGTCTGGCTTGGTGCAGGCCGGCTCGCCAGGGATGAGGGGACACGGGGCTGCTGGGGCTGGTCTGAGCGTGACACAGCGTCAGCGAGTTTCTGTGGTCTCCACCGTTGCACTGAGACACATCACGGGTTCCCTCCACACGGGTTTCCTTAGGGACGCTCCTGTCCCTCCGGTACCTCCCCTCTGCACTAACTTTCAGGCCTACACGCCGGCAGGCAATCCATTCCCCTCGTCTTTCCCAGAACAAGCCCTTGCAGGAGCAGAATACGCATGAAGTTTGGCTTCCAGCTTGGCTGAGCAGCCCCGTTAGGCTCTGCCTATAGTTAGCGAAAGGAGCCTCATTCAGACGTCAAGCGACAGTACCCAAGTTAGGCTTTAGCTGTCTGGTTTTCATCTGGTGGGGTCACTCTTGCTTCATTGAATGTAAGAACTTGGAAATCAGCCGCTACTAAACATGCAGAGTGAACGACGTAGTGCAGCAGCCAAAGGAAAATCTGTGCAACTCCTGCAATAAAGCCTTGTGGCTCTTTTATTTTATTCTACAAATAAAGACAACTGTCCATCATCAAATGGAAAAAAATAATAATTTGAATTGTATATAGCATGAAACAGTAGTTTCCTCCACAAAAACATCTCTAGTTCATTAGTTTATTACAAAATATCCACTCACAGAAAAAACACAAGCACAATCTTTATACTTGTGAAATGAATTGATATTTCATATACAAAATAATTTCCACATAATTCCATATAATTTTATTTTATATAGAAATAGGTCATTATTACAACAGCTGTACAATACACTACTTTTTCTTTAATAATTACATAAAATCTTTCTTAGAAACATATTAACAGAAAACATACAAAAAAAGCGAAAAGTGCATTTCTTTCCCCCCCCCCAAAGGAAAATTCAATCCTAAATGTTATAATGAAAGAGAGATGTAATAGTCTGCAGCATCCCGAGTCAGTGGGCCAAAACACAGTGCATATTCCTCCGCGGCTTGCTGTATAGGTTGAAGAGGGATCCGTGTGGTGTTACTGGAGAGCTGCATGATTGTGCTTATAAACCGAGTTCTCCTTTGCCATCGGAATTCACACAGGAAACAGTCCAGTGTTTTTGCTGTTGTTGTTTTATGTTTTCAGTCGTGATGGCCAGGTAGGCTAAGCTGCATAATACTGTTCAGATTCTAAATGAAGGGTTATGAGCATATTCACTAATGACTGGGCTTTCTTCTCCATTGGATGTGCTAATTTGGCCACAAGAAGAAGGAAAGTGCCTTTCTCGTTACAGAAAGTGCCTAGGTTTTGTCCTCTGTGCAGTTGTGCAAAATAACAACAATAATCATAATAAAAATAATCTTTTGTTCTCTCCTCGATAGACCTTTGACGCAGTGCTTTCCATACACAAAGAAGAACCGAAAGAGTGAAGGCCGAGCACCTCGTGGGCCCGCGCACGTTGCGCGTGACGCGCGGAGACCAACCCGCCTCCCCCGGCGCCCGTCGGCGATGGAGTTTGCGCAGGATAGTGTTTCGTTCTCTTACTTTGCTCTGACAGAACATCCTGTGCTCACGAGACGGCGCGAGCTGGGTCCGGCGTGCCCTGAATGGGCAGTCTGCGCTCCGTGGCCTACTTCTGTCGCGGAGCTTGGGAACAAATGCCTGTGCAAAAGGCAGAACACGAAGTACAGAGTCACTCTCCTGTGCCCCAGGCGCCCCTTGGTTAAAGCTAATCGTGCATTGGTTGTGCTGGTGGGACTCTATCGCAGCGGCTGCGGTAAATTTGATGCTTCTGATAAGCTATTGCTTCTTCTTGGTGTTAGTTGCTGCTGCTGCTGCTGTGCCTGATGATAGCCCATATTTCCTTGCTGTGGCGAGTAGGATGGCAGGAGCAAAGAATCGGCTTGCTCACTGTGCAAAGAACTTGCAGTTTGCACCTACAGACAAAATAAAAGTCATTGTGTGGTTTCATTCTGTCACAGATTACAGCTCTTCGTCCTCAATGTACGGGGCGCTCAGCACCATCGCCAGCCTGCTGGCTGCTACTCGTGAGGCTGTGTGTTTGGAATGGGGTCAGCTTCCCTAATACCAGCTGGAATGCACTTAAGTTGCAGCAAAGAAGTTTACAATTAGGCATTGAGAAAGGTTTACGAATAGGAAGGGGCTGCTCTAGGATTTTCAGGTTATTCGTTGCTGAAAAGCCTGTTTAAGAACAGGCTGGACAAACATGTCAGAAATGACACAGATGACAGGAGTGACACGGGAGCCTAGTGTGGCTCATGAGGTCCCTTTAGCCCGTTATTTTTGTGAGTTTACAATAGTAAACTTGCAGTGCTGAGGTTAATGTGAATTTTGCAGATGCTTTTACTGGGAGTGGAATCTGCCATAGTTATTATTTCCCAGCTATAATAAAGGGTTCCAGCACAAAAACAGGAGTTTAATCATTGAGGTTGATGATGCTTTTTCAGTGACTCGAGTGGATTTGTGATCAGGTTTTAGAGGCTCAGTTCAGATCCTTCTGCGTTAATACAGACACCTCTTTCCTCCCTTCCCCCATCAGTGTGTGTTGGATTAGTTAAAAAAAAAAGAAGTATTTTTGCATCTTCAGTTCACCTGGTTCTTCCAGGCGATCTGCTCCAATTTATCTTCTTTGCCTTGTGGAGATGAGGAAATATGTTAATTTACTGACAGGATCCAGATATCTGATCCAGATCTCATTTTATGTTGATGCTGGTAGTTAAAAAAAACATCTTTTCACTTGTAAACTAAGCAAATTTTATACTGAATAAATAGTACAGAATAAATCCTAAGGCGGCAATTTTTTGAAGAGTCTAGAAACACACTTTAAACACATCCAGGATAATCTGATTATGCTTCCAGCGTACCAGATTAGTAATTTCCTTTGAAACGCTCTACGCCCGCTGCCGCGGCTGCCTCGCTCTGCGGCCACGCGACGCGGGATCGGCGTCCTGCGCCTCGCGCCTCTTTCAAAGGCTCCCGGCCGTGCGCGGGGGGTGTCCTCCTGGGCCTACCCTACCTGCAGGTAGTGCTGGGGCTGCTGCTGCTGCTGGCGCGGCGCCGCTTGCATAGGTGGCAGGGAGGGAGGGCTGGCGGCGAAGCCCGGGCTGAGCACGGCTTGTCCCATGAGCACGACCGGGGAGCCGCCGCTGGAGGCCGGCACCTCCAGGCTCTGGAACATCTGTTGGCTTTGAGGGTATCTGGGGAAGAGAGAAGGAGGTGAAGCAATGGAGAAGGACCAGGAGAAAGAAAAAAATGGGGTGGGCAGCCCTACTCGAGATAAATCATTCCTGATAAAGGACTCCAATACACGGACCTGTTAACGTGGAAGACGGCGTCGTGTGCACGAACACCAGCAATACTGGACTGCAAGGACAGAACACGTCCCGCCTCAAGATACCGACCACTTTTTAGGCTTGCTGAAGAGCCTGGCCTGGGCGTATCTTCTCTCCAGCCACTGCATTCACATCCCAGGCTCACGAAAGCAAATGCCCTTTGGTTTTATATTGATATGATGCGCTCCCAACTGCAATAGCTGTAATAGCTGCAGTAGCTGCAATTCCGCTCCTTCTCTGCTGTCTGTGCTCCCCTACCACTGCCAGTGTCTCGCAGAAAGATGGGTAAGGCTCATTACTTTTTAAGCGGCTCCCGTACAAATTGCCAAGGACAGTCAGCAATTCCCCCAGCTATGAACCACATTACAGGAACAGAAGAAACGCAGAGCCTGCCCTCTAAAATGAAGGACGGGCCAAAACCCCAAATACTCAGTTCCTCCTGCCAAATCTGCCTTTGCACTGCAGAACCTAAATACTTGTTGTTGCGTGGAAGGCTTTGGGCAAAACCACAGTGCAGCTGCTGCCAGCCCGGCCTAATTCTGTTTATCCTGTAATGGCTGATGAGATCATCGTGTGGTGTGTTTTTGCTATACAGCTGTTCGAAATTAGGGGTCGGATGAAAATGCTAAAATTTGGGTTCTTGGACTAGGATGTGAGCTCCTAAAAAGGGTGTGAGTCAGGGAGCAAACAAGAATTCGGAGACGTGTATTTGAAAATCAGGCCTCCTTTACTGAAATGCTTAAAAGCAGATCCCCCCTTATTATTGTAAGTATTTACATTTAAAGAACTCTGTATTTATAATTGAAGCAGAGCATTTCAGCTGGAAAAAAAAAAGTATTAGAATAGCAACAGTGTTGCTTAGAAAGTACTGAATACCTGCATGCCTGAGCTATCAGCTCCAAAGTACCCGTATAGAAAGGGTTGCTGCCTGACGTGGACAGCAGTATTTATAGCTTTATTTGTATATCTATGTGTTATATACTTTATCAAGAAGGCTCTTTTTCCCCCTCCAAAGCGACCTTGGCACTTCCACGTACTTAGCCTGCGATCCAGCCCCGCCGAGCTCCGTCGCGCGTCTTGCGTTGCAGGACCCGGGCATCATGGGCTGGATAGGCTGGCTGAGCAACAGCCTTGGGCGGGCGAGGAAACGGGGCGAGGGGAGGAGGGAAAAAAAAATAAAAGGAAAATAAAAGGCGACGTGACGGCACCAAGGCCCGGTCCCGGGGGGCCGCGGCGGCCCCGCGCGGCGCTTTTTTCGGCTGCCGGCGGCCTCGGCGCCCCGCGCCGCCTTGGCGCCCTGCGGGGGAGACCAGGCGTTAGCGCGGGCCCTCGTTGGGCCCCTTCCCCTCCCTTTCCCCTCTTTTTTTTCCTTTCTGTTTATTGTGCAGATCCGCGGCTTGTTGTTTCAGTGGAGCCATTATCATCACACACGTGATGTAGGACACTATAGGAGGTTATAAGTGGCCCTGGAGAGGGTCTGTGCGGCTGTGTGCGCTGCAGGCTCTGGTAACAGGGCTAGGAGCTAAGCGTTCTGGGAACGGAGGAACAGGGGTTGTGGGGAAGAAATAACACTGGAAATCTGCAATAAGGGGGAAGAAAAGCCCACAAAACAACCCCAAAGCCTGTGTCAGCCTGTTCCGAGATTTCACAGGTCTCACTTGTTCGTAACTGGAGGTGAAACGTGTTTCTCTGCACAGGAGGCGGCTACAGCTTGGAAGGCTCAAACCAGTTTCTGAGGAGTTCTGCCATGTGCTGCCGCATTGCAGCAGTTCAGCCCTGCTGGTGGCCCCTGGTCAAGAGCTAATTTGGCCTCAGAGTGACCTGCTCCTAGGAGCCAGGTTAGGGCTTGTTCTGAGAGGTCGCGCTGCGGACACCCCTGTTGCTGGTTTGGGCAGTCAGATCTGACTGTGCGGCCAGTCAGATTTCTTGCATGACCAAGTAAAGAAAAACGGGTCCTCCACACCTTCTGCATGCTCCCTCTGCTCAGGTTTAAGGCTGGAACAGCTGCTCCAGTAACACTCCTGCCTGGGGTCTTAGGAAAGAGATTTAAGGTAAAGGAAATGCTGTAGACAGGCGCTTTATATGGGGAATAGGGGAGCAAGGCATAGACACCCTCACTTATGGGACTGGCATGATTTTACTTGCGGTTTAATAACATCTCAGTGTCTTCTTTCCATACAAACATTTCTCTGTTCTAAAGAAAGGAGTACCTGGCTCGATATCACACTGGCTTCTCTCAGTGCTTGCTGGTTTGCTGTTTGTGAAGACCCAATTTGCCCTTGGAGCTGAGGACCGGGAACGAGCTGCTGCTGAGAAATGACCCCTGGCCTCTGCTGTAGCTGCTGTGGCTCCGACTGTTGAATATTGCTAAAGCTCAGGGACGCTGTTGGCTGCTGTAAAAACATCTGGAAAAGAAAGGGGAAGGTTTACTCACATCTCTTAGCTATCTAGGTAGAGATAATGATGGTGACAGAGATAAATCCAAAGATATGCTCTAAAGTAAAGTTATCACCGTTCTACATTAGCTGTAGTTTTACTGTTAATTGGAAATCACAAATCGTTCCTACATTGGCTGTTCTGCCGTTTCTATTTTTGTTCCTCCCTCTCCTGGGAGCGTATTGACTAGTCACGAGAGGTGCCCGGGGGTAGAAGCCCTCTGTGCCCGGCAGGCTCTGTCCTTGTAGAGGCTCCGCACGGTCACGGCGTCCCGGGGCATCGTCTCCAGAGGGAGCAGAGTCTGTGCCCAGCTTCTCAGCCCTTTCATGTCTCCCATCAGCAAAACCGGCCTGCCTTGCAGCCAGAGCCACTCGTGATTTTGGCTGTGAAAATCCAGCGCCGTATATGCAGCCGGGCTGTTGAATTTTACTAAGGGCTCTGTCCTTAGCATTGAGGAGGTCCGTAAGCAGGCGGTCACTGCCATCTGGGTCATTTGCAGCCCAATGCCTGTCACCCACTGGTCTTGCCTGTGTTTGGCGTATGCAGAAGGACTAACAAACAACCCCTCTGCTATACACTATTTTGCCCTGCAAAATGAGACTTTCTTCTTCATGAATTTCTTCTTTATACAAGTTACAGGGCTTTGAATTATTATTTTTTCTTTTTCTATGGGTTATTCATTTATTTTGTAGCCATCCAAAGGCATCTTTTTGTGAATTATTTATGCTACCAGCTCTCTTTGCAATGCACCAAACCTAGCTGGATATCTATCCTCTCGTGCCAGGGCCCGAGGGGAGCTGCACTTCCCCGGTAGCTGAAGGCATTCCGGGCTTTGCTCCTGATTCCCTGCCACTGCTGCCCACGTGCAAACATGCTAAGCTCGTCCATTAACTGAAGTGGAACCATTTATGGTTTAAATGAAATCAGAGTCACAGTTACTCTCTTCATCACGCATCCATCAGCCTCATACCCAGCAGTACATCCGAGGTGTGCCCAGTAATGAGTTCACTTTTCTGCAGCTTATTGCTATATTAGCAATTCCCCAAACGACCATGTCCCCTGCAATTTCTTTTGGAAAAAAAAACCCATACTTTTCTCTTAAGGATCTGACCCAGTTGCTCTTCAGGTGCCCGTGTATGGGTTGGTACATCCTACCTGTGCCTATTTATCTAGCTTTTAAAACACAGTTTATACTTAAATATGTGAATTTTTCAATGCATGTCTGTGTGCCAGGTTTTACTCAGAAGGAAAGGTACAGACAAAGCTTACATTAATCGGTTGAGAGAGGGGGGCAATTAATGAAAATGTTAATGGTCCCAAAGCAACGGCTTGTCTCAGGGGCTGTGGGCTAGCAGCATCTCAAAGATGCCTGATATAAATAAATGGGTCAAGTAACGGAGTTGTGGCTGCTCATAGCAGGTCTGAAACCAGCTCTGAGTGTTTTCTTTTAAAAAACATTGCTCACTGAGTTTGGAGCCATTACATATCAGAAAGACAGATGGTCTCACAACTTCTGCCAAGTAAATAGTTCTTATTATGAGTAAATCAAAGACGGAAATTACGAAAATTCATTTTCTTGTTTATTTTCTCTATTTAGAAGATGAGCTTTGGACATGCTTAGTAAATGAGCTTATTTGGCTAGCTCCAGCAATAGAACTGGTGACCATTTGGTTGCTATAAAATTCAGAACAGGTAAAGCAAGTGGCATCGTTCAAAAATGTGATGTGGGATGAGCACCCACTGTTACTGGCAAGATCACAACAAGCTAAGTCCTTCAAAAGCAGCATCTTAGGCGTTCTCCTTGTACGTGGTGCACAGCACTGAGAAATACGAAGTTCCTCTAATGCAAATTCAACACCTATCAATGCAAATGCTAGGCAGGGTGTGAATTTATAGCAAATTACTTACTCTGCAGGGAGGTGACTGTGTGCATGCCCTACTCTGAGATGAAGGCAAAGCAGCTTATGCTTCAAAGGCACCGGGGAAGGCGGCTCCGCAGTTATCGGCGTGTGCCACGGGATGGGAGTGCGCACAGCTAACGCTGGCAGCTACCAAACTACACACTTGCAACGCAGGAAACCTCTTTCTTTTTAATGTGTTCAAAGCCCGAGAGGCATGAACCCAGAGACACTCCTGTTGCCTAATAACGGCCAAGGCACCGTTATTGCCCGTGGAACATAAACGCCCTGGGAAGAACAAGCCCAGGGCTTAAAAACGGCAGTGGTGCCATTTCGACTGTGCCCCCGCAAAACAGGCAGGCTCCAGGTGCCTCATCAAAACTGGGGTCGACCTGAGAGAGGATCAGAAGAGTGGGACTCTGGTTAAGCATAAAAAGCAAGGACATACTTCATCTGTACAACGCCTACGAGTGCTTCTCCCTAAAATGTCTCCTGTGGTATCTCAGTCCTGCCTGGATTCATCTGCAACGCTGAAGTCCTCTAGCTTTAAACAAGAACAGAAATCCCCTCAAGAAACAAACCTTTCCCGGTCTGAGCGAACGAAGGAGATAAATTAGCAGCCCCGTAACTGCACTGCGGATAAGGACACGTCTCGTGGCTGCTTTTGCGTGCTGCAAGGTCAGTGAAGCATCTTAAAAATATGCTTTAATTGGCCAGCTTGTTAACATACCCAGCAAAGCAAGAAGGGACGCGCCGACACCGCTGCCCCTCTGCAGCTAATGGACGGATCGTGCTGGTGAGACATGAGACAAGTGGCAGTTTGACTCTGCCCATTCTTTGGGTAATCGGGGGCTTACAACCTTGAGGCTCATCACACTGATATCAAGTCTCTTGTGTAAAATAAGTAAAAATGAGAAGTACAGTGCTGTCCGTGCTCCGTGCGCGGTTCTTCAGTTGCACTGCTCAAATCAGCAGCCTGCACACTTCCGGGGTTGCGCTTGCTGCTCCTGTCCCCAGCGCTTGCATTTTTCCTCCGGAATAAAAAATGGGGGTCTAATGGGGTTTGAGCACTTTTGTTGAAGCCCCGCCAGCCTCCGTCGAGTTTCGGAAACCAGGCCGCGCTCCCCGCGGAGCCCTGTGTGTGGACAGGAGCGCGGCGCTGCGCGAGGGGCGCGGATCAAGCAGCTCGCGAGGGAAAACTGCCCCAAGGGCCCCGTTTTCAGCAAACTCCCGATGGCGCTCCCCACGCTTCCAGCTCCCATTCTCCACGTGGAGCGTCGAAGGGATCCGAGCCACGCGTGGTGGCCGCGCTGCTCTCTTTGGGGCTCTGCTTGGCGCTTTGGCGAGAGGCACGGGCAGGGTCTGCGGCACGCGGCCCTGCGGATGCAGAAGGCCGCCCGGCAAAGCGCGGTCTGGGTTCTGATCCAGCACTTTACTCCTGGCTGCTTGGCTGGAACAAGAGCCCAGCGTGCAAATATAGGAGGCTTTGTTTTTACATTGCCCCGATGGTTTGAATAAGACAAACCTAATTCCTCACTCGCTTTGTCCCCTTAACAGCACAGTGATGCACAATAATTTCTTTCCTTTTTTTTTTTTTTTTTTCGTTTTTTTTTTTTAATCTAGAGAAAGCTGGAGAAGGAGAAGGCCCTGCTCCTAAGTCAGCGTGACCACTCACATCCCAATACTTTGTCTGGTTGTTCGGAGGAGACCGAAAAGCCGGCCCTCGGACTGCAAACACGGGCTCTCCCGCTCCCGCCGTGCTCCTGCAGCAGCTACAGCGGCGCCTGCGTTTCCGAGCCTCCCTCCGGTTCCCCTCCGCTCGGCATCCGTAACAACGGGTGGTTGGCGCTGACATCCAGCAACTCGCTGGGTTTGGAAAAAAAGTTCCCGTGGGTCCAACCTGGCACAGTGTTCATGGGGGAGCGGGGATCGCATGAACGCTGGGGCTTGGAGCCACAACCCGGAGGGGGCATGACCACCCGCCCCGGGCCTCCCTGCCTGAGCCACCAGCAGCACAGAAGAGAATCTGCCCCGCAGTCTCTGGGTTGCTAGAGGCACCATAGTGTGTGCCGAAGACAGCTGGGTAAAAGTAAAATCTGTTCCCTGCGTGCAGGAAGGTGCCCTGATCTCCCACTTTAGTCTGAGTTACTCAAAAAAAAAAAAAAAAAGGATCAGTGAATATAAATATTGAACACTTCACGAGCGGAGTAATTTTTTTTTCCCAATTAAAAAGAGGACAAGTGAGAATATCATGTCTCTTGGTTATTTGTAATAACAGTAATAGCTTTCAGACATATGACACCATTCTGTAAAGCCAGTTAATTGCAAAGAGAATTTCCTTTCCCGTTAATCAAACTCAGTGTAGAACCAATGGAAGAAAAACACTGATATTAAACCTGTTCTACCTATGGCGTTATATGATACCAGGAACAGAGAGATCTGGTTTTGGGACCCCTCACTGCTGTGTTGTATTATTAGCCGTCCATATGCAGCAACTTAGGTGGCAAAGTTTCTAATTTGGCTTCATGGATGCCTTAATTGCCTAAGCCTACGATCCCATGTTGTTTTGTGAGCTGCATCTCACAAATGCTGATTATAGGTGAGATTCTATTTCTGTGGAAGGTAGGAGCAACATCCCCACTAACTTCAGTGAGTCCCGGGATTTTATACCGCGCTGAAAATGTTCTTTGGGACGTTCATTTCTGCAATGGAGCTTGCCTTCTAAAAAATCTTGATAGTACAATGTTCATAGTGGGTCCCTAATGCCACATTTTTAGAAACGGTCATTTAACTAGATATTCCTGTTTAAATTACAGGAACAGAGCAGTAATCACCCTGCTTTAGAAAACTTCCATAAAACGGGCTGATTTCTCCATTTGTCATTAAATGAAACTCGAGGAGTACCAAATTGCATTTGCTATTATTTACGGGGTACAGCAGGCATAAAGGGTAGTACCGAGCAGATATTGTACTTAGTGAATTCTAGCTCGGGGAAGGAGACCTATCAAAGACACAGGAAGAGCAGGTTCGGTCGGCTTCACCCCGCGGCTCAAGCTGGTCCAGGGAAAGATGAAATGAGACAGGAGTGTTGGCCTTTCTGCTGTGCACAACGCTAGCAGAGTTGTTTCTTGTTTCCTTCTTTCTTTCCTTTTTTGGACATATACATGTCAAAAACACAATGAGGAAAGCCATCTCTTGTGCTGTGTTTCCAAGCTGGAGCTGGGTCTGGAAGCAGAGAGTACATGGAAGAGGTGAAGGATGGTGGGCAGGAGAAGCACAGGGCTGCTGGCCAAGGAAGAGCAGGACAGATGAGACAGACAGGACTGGTAATTCATGTTTGAAGCAAGCACTGATGCTGATGAAGAGACATGACTCAGGAGACATGAGCATTGGCAAATCTGAACGTGAATCCTTTGCTATTAACGTTGCTCAGTCTGAAGACTCAGTCGATAAAGTACTGAAGTGTGACTTTGAACAGCCGACTTTCTTCCCACCATGGTTGAAAAATTTCTTTCTCTTCATCTTCCAGAAGCTCTCAATCTTTCTCAGTGTAAATTGCTCAAGAAACTAGCACAGGGCAAAATCCTCATTCAGAGGAGCTGGTTTTCCCACGTCCAGATTTCATGGACTCTGCAGCTACACTGAAGTTAGCAACTCTACTAGATGTCTGGTGAGAAGATGCTTCACCCTGCCCCTTCCCAACACCACCTCACCTGTATGCTGGAGTCCTGGACCAAGCAGAGCTGCTGCTGTATTTTCTGGAGCTCCTCCTGTTGCCACCGAATGTTGGCTTGCAGGATCCGTGTCCTCTGTTCGAGCTGGTCCTTGATGCTCTGGAACATGCTAAACTGTGCTGAGAACTTAAAAAAAGGGGGGAAAGATCAGTCATTATGATATAGGCAGACCTCAATACCATGTTAATATGTAAGAGGTTATTGGTCTCGTGACTTTTCAAACAGAATCAAATGAATAAAGTGTGTGTTTATAATACTTTTAGACTAACCTCTAGGCAGAGGCAAAGCTGTTGTGTTTCTAATCTTATGTGTGTATATTAAGTTGTCTCAGTTACAGAGATCTGCTCACAGCTGACCCTGGTCTGTTAGTGAACCACCCAGTGACTCCTTTGGAGAGTGTGCTACTTTAAAATGTTATCAAGTACATATTAACCGATGATCAAGCAGTGCATTATTATTACTAGCCTGTAGTTTGAAGTCCTAAATGTGACATAACCATATATTCCAAAGCATTTTACTAACTTTTGCTTTTCCCACACTGAAATAGCAGTCCTGCAGTGATTTATTCCTGATTATATCATCATGCAATGGTTGACCACAATAAATACCTTCTAGTTTCTACAGCTGAGCACTAATCAGGTTACAAGGAGTCCTCATTATTTTTATACATGACATAAAACAAATGGTGAAGCTAAGCAGGCAAAAGGGCTATTCTAAATAATTATATAAAATGGAGATCACTAATGAGGGTGCAGAAGAGAGCAAAATATCCGGTAGCTGCAATGGCACGGAAGGGAATCATCCAATAAGCACCGAGGAGACTGACATGGTAATGAGCTCCTCATATCAATTGGTGTTTTAGGGGATGATTTAAAGTTCACCAAAGCTAATTAATACTTTAATTGGCTTTAGAGTAGCTGCTTTGCATGAGTTTCCATTCCAAGAAAAATAAGAAAAATCTTGCAATGACTTGAAAATGGTGCATGGGTCCTGTGACTTTCTTAGTGGCCCTGCTCATAGAGGGCAAAACTGGTGCACATTGCTGGCACCTTCCTGCTTGACAGTGCTGCTCTTGCTTACACCATTCCTGGCTTTCCCTTTATTTCTGAACAGGAAACCCGAAAATGGGGTCAAATGGGGAATTAAGGTGCTAGCAACATTGTACCACTTAATGAATTTCAGGGCACTTGCAGAAATCTGCATGTGCCAGGTCAGATTTGTCTTGGTTTTGCTGTGAAACAGCTACACGGGTGGAAGACCTGTCACATGCCCTCCAGGAAACAGATGAAATCTCCCTGTGACTGTCCTTCAGGGAAGAAAGGATGATTTTTTTAATACATATGTATATAATTTGGCTAATGGACGAGTGGAAACTGCTGGTGTTTGAGAACAAGACAAGGGACTGCAAGGGGCACTCGAGATCCTTGTTCTAGTCTGGACCTGAGCTTCTGGAGGCTCCTGGGATCCCTAATTTCAGGCATGGAATTGCACGAGGAGGGGAATTTCAGGAGGAGAACCAAAGTTTAAATTAATAATAGCTAATTCCTGATTTAGCATGGGTCTGTATGGAAGGATATTAAAAAAAAAAAAAGCCTCAGAACCTAATTCTCTCTATAAGAATTCCGTCACTGAGGAGTTCTCTTAACCCTTTGGATGGGTCTTTATCAGAAAGGAAGTAAAAGCATTTTTTAGGCAAAAGTTTCATTTTAGCTACCTGGCCTGCCAAGGGTAAATTTATCACTAGGACAGTCCAGATGTGTGAACTCATTTTAGACACTGGGAAATCAACTTGATTTTTCTTCAAATAAGAAATTACAGGCATTTTAGAAGAAATAATTTTACACTCATTTCATATTTTAATAACAGACAATCTCTATGTCCCAGCATTAGTTTTAGATTCGAATTTGCTTTGCAAAGCTGCACACACAAAAATTGCTTTTGGTTTTAAATTATTACTCCATGTTACTCTTTTCAGCACATTCTCATACCTGACATACATTTCTATTATTTTTTTTTTATTTTCTTCTTCATGTGCTTTTTTATGAACAACTCAACAATGATTAGATGTCCTACAAGAAGGAGAGCCATTGAGGAGGAGGAGAAGATGCTTTCTCCTTTCTTTTTCTTCCCTTTCCCACTGTGAAACTGAAATTAGGTGGTAACTCTAGCAATGGCCCATCTGATAAAAAAGCTCCTGTTGTGTTGGGTATAGTGAGACACCAGAAGCAATGGACCTTCACTGGAGAGTATTTATCTCAAGATCATTAACTGCTCAACTAATTAGGGGAGAAATCTGTAATTGTGTAATGAATTAAAGAGCTTAATTCATATTGTTCCACAGAAAACGTTACATGGCTTTAACTCTATGGTTAGCATCGGAGAAAGTTAGCATTGGTCTCACTTTGGTATATTGCAGATACCCCTGATCCTCGGAAAAGGGAATGCTGCAGCTGTACCAGCTTTCCAGATACAGCCAAACATTCAAGGCAAAAATCTATGGGATAGCTGTAATTGTAGAGCATGACTGGGTTGATCAAGGTTTGCTAGCAGACAAATAGCAATAATTTTAGTCTGGTTTATTTAAAAAAAAGAGAATTGAGGCTTTTTTTTTGATCATGCAGGCAGGTTGTCCCATGCAGGCAGGTGCATTTTTTAGCATGGTTTCATAAAGAAATGAAGCTTTAATTTCCTCCTGCCTTCTAACTTTCAATATTTTGGGCCAATACTCAAGACACACAGTGGAGTCGCGAGGGTCTCGAAAGCATCAAGTTGCTGTAGTTTTCATGGGAGCTGGGGCTGAGCAAAGCGCCAGCAGCCCCTCAGCACCCACCGGTTGCGCTCCCAACCTTTCTGCTGAGCGCTGGGGGCCCTGCTGCAAGTCACAGTCCCCACGTCACATTCAGTTTGGCTGCTCCCCAAACAACCTGCTCGCTCCTTCTGCCTCCCGGATGACACCTGCACGCTCCCAAGCAGAATTATTAGGTCTAATTTTTATTCAGCCACCAGCAGCCGTTGTGTTGTAGGGGATTTTAATTTATTACAATGTCAAGAAAAATATTTTAACGGGGAGCACTTGGCTTAGAGCAAACCATTCACACTCAAGCAGCACCCAGTGCGATGCTTTAGGGCTCATTCAGGCAAATCGACAAGTGGGGATTTAAAAACGTATTTAGGCAGCGGCAAAACCAAGACAGCATTTGCTTGAAATAAAACTAATCAAAGTTCAAGCAGATGACGCTGCAGGCAGGAGCTGGCTGCTCGCTGCAGAGGCACTGGGGGCTCTTTGAAACATCCTTCCCTTGCTACTGCCCCTGGGCTGGATACTCGGGCTCCACAGAAGAGCCCTTGGAAGGACTCCTGGAAAATGCCTTGGTCCTGCACGCACGCACTCAGAAAACTTTGGTTTTTTTGCAGCTTCAGGATGGGGTGAGCAGCTTCTGAAACAGTGACGCCGTAAAATGATGTGGGAATAATTCAGTAGTAATTCAGTTTCTGGCAAATCTGAGGCAGAGGAGGAGACGCTGTTGTTCTGAAAGCAACGAGGTCTTGTTCTCTTGCTAAAATGCTGGGAAAATTATCAAACTGAGGGAATGGTAACGGTGTAAAATACATCTGGGTTTCTGTGCTCCACCTGGATCTCATTGCTCATTCGCTTAGTGCTGTAGGGTGAATCCTTACCTTGTCTTGCTAAATAATGGATTGTATTGCTGTAGACTGGCGTGCTTATTATTTTAAGGTGGCAAGTACAGAAGGAAATTAATGGATTATGAAAACATCATCCAAATCTGTGGAGAATTACTAGCTTTCCCACAGCATCTTATAGGAAGCATGTGCCACAGCATCCTGAGCTGCCAGCTCCCACGTGCTCTATCCACACATTGCCATCGGGGAAGCGCCTGCCTGAGTTTCCCTGGGGCACTTGCTGCCGCTAAGGAAGGTGACCACGGAGGGCTGCGTATTTAGACAGACTCTGTTCAGTACCTGAGCCCCAGATTTAGCCAGGCCAAAGAGGCCAAACTGCTGGCTGTGACACTGCAAAATGCTCCAGTTTGGCTGAGAAGCAATGGGAGAGGAATGCCAATAAGCCCATTAAACGAGGCTTTTGGTAAACAACCGAAAAACATCTCTTCTGAAATAAGTTTTGATGGAGAAGAGAAGGGAGTAGAAAACAATCAAGCATAACATGCAAACATGCACAGGTTTGTATAAATAAACTAATTGGTGTTTTGAAATGCATTAATGAATAGCAGAGAAGAATATCTGCAAAAGAAAGCGAATGCGCAGAGCAGATAATTGATACCCTGTTTCTTCATTGCAGGCTGGTGTGGAGTCGTGAAAAGAATGTTAAACATGAAAGATAAATGAGAAATCGGTATTTTAAAGCTGGGATCCTCCAGACTTTAAATGTTTTATACGCTACAGGAAAAGACTCTGGGGTCCTGCGAGGGAGTACAGGATACAAAGAGCAGAAGCCCCTAAGGTTCTGCAGAAGCCCCTAAGGGAAGACCTCAGCCACTTCCCAAATTATAGGACATGAGGATATTATCACAGAGTGGGATGGCAACGATGGGAACATGCTACTCAAGTTTGCTTCTTTGAAATCCACTCCCAGCGAAACATGGGGATGGCTTTTTGGGTCAAGAGCTGCTTCCAAGATGTGGGTTAAGGGACTCTAGTGGAGCACTCTGCCACTAGCAGCATCCTCGTCATTACTGGCAATCTCTCAAAAGGGGTGTTGCTGATCCTTAAGATGTGTCCTTTACTATTAGTTCTGCATTATATTAGCCAAACTTTTTTTTTTGGAGGATTAATTATCTTTTTTTTTTTTTTTAATTCTCATCAGGATCTTGATTTTAAGGGGACTCGATTCTGAAGAGGCAGGGTGGAAAACTGCTTCTCCATTTTGTTTTTTGTCTCCCTATGACATAAATGTGGGTGTGCACGTGAACCTACTGTACCTCTTCTTCTGCTGTGAGTGTCTGAATATAAACATGTGTAAGCACACAAGGTTACCGTTCATATGACACTCGCGCAATATTTTAAGAGTTTGAGAACTGGTGAAGTTTGAGGTTTTAACTATTATAGGAAGATCCTAAAAGCACTAGACTCTGTCAATTGATTTGGTCGATGAAGGAAGAAAATATCAGAGAAGTGACCTGTTCCATTTCCAAGTCCCCAACTAACCTGTGCCAGAGGTGCAGGCTGATTTGGCAAAGTTGCTTGGGGCAGCAACTGCTGTGGGAGAAGCTCACATGAAGGCTGAGAAGGCAAAGAAGCCTAGGTTAAAAACAAAACAAAACAAAGCAAAACTTAATTTATAAGTTTGGCTCCTTTCTCTTTTATATTTCTTCTAATGCCACGGCCTTTGGGTAAGTCTTTTTCACCTCTGCTAAGCTGCACATGTGGAACATGCTTCAAACCTTCTGCCGATTTCTATGACTGTGGGTAAACTTACCTGTAGAGCAGTAGGCTGACTGAGTCTATGCACGGGCAAATCCTGCTGCGTGCTAGGAGTCCTTTGCAAGGGAGTGCTGGGCTCTGCAATCAGCTTTGTTGGTGTAGCTGTAAGGAAAGTATCCGTGAGTTCCCACAAACTGAAAAATCACAATCATTTTTTAAGTCAGAGGGAGACAAGTCTAAAAGTGGTCTGGCTAAGTTCCAGCTTCAGTCAAGGCTCTTCCTGTTGACTGCAACCAGAGCAGTAAAATCAAACTCAAAAGAAGGATCTGGGCAAAGATGAAAGTCAATGAGACAGACTCGAAGTCTGTGCTCCAATGAATAAAGCAAAGGGACCCCCAAATCATTTCTAAAACACCTGGAACTGTCTTTATTTGAAGTTAGCTCATCAGCTTTCCTTTCAGACCAGAGAGCAGAAAGAGTGCATAAGGGGTGTCCAAGTCATGGACAGAGCGTCCTGAGTCTTGGCCAAAAGAATATCACCCACTGGCTGTCACTGCTTCTGTAAGTCTGCATGGACCTCACACACCCTCAAACTTGAAGACAAAAAGTCTTAATTTTCCTAGTAAACCTAAGCAGGAGGTATCATGGTTATTGTCGCTACCTGTTTTTCAGTGTATGAATGGTTGCGCTAGAGCCTTCCCCCATGTGTGTTATAATTTCAGATTATGCTCTTCATTGTGTGTGACAAATGTACCACTGCTATCTCATAAATAACTGTTAAATTAGCAACGGTGTCATACAGACACACATTCTGTACTTTGGCTAAATTTAGAACAATGCAGTAACCCAGAAATGCCACTCACATGCAGGGTCCGATTTTGGTGTGTGGGAGGATTTTGGTGAGCTCCTGGACGATACTGAGGGTGTCCGACTAGTGCTAAGGATCGAGGCACCAATATCGAGTGCATTAAAGTGCTGTTCAGGATCCAAGCTGGAGCCACTCTCCTAAAACAAGACATAACAAAACAAAACAAAAGAAAGAAAGAACTAAAACATATGTCAGGGTAAAAACATTTTGTCATGCATCTGGTAATTCTTGCAGACCCACTCCTTTGGCTAGCCTAAAGTGACTTGAGCAGAACTATTCCCCATTGGCCGGCAGAAGGCTTAGGCCCAAATATCAATGTCCTTTACAAATCCTGATTCATTTTCCAATGCACTGTTACTGAAGTGGAAAGAAGTAGCAAGCTATTGGCATAGTCATTTTGTGCTTTGAAATTGTTCTCTTGAAACTTTTTTCTTTTTTTTTGCATTCAGTTAGATGTGGCAGTCACTGAAACCTCTGAGGGACACTCAGTGATGCCTTGAGGAGGAGCTTGCATTCCCTTCCCTCAGCAGAGCACCTACATGTTGCCAAGAAAGGGCTGCCCAAACGTGTCCCAAATGAATCTCAAAACTGTAGTCCTTTGATGGGGGAACATAGAGATATCTCACATTGCCCTACCCATGTTCCACATATTTCATTACTGTTACTGTTCTCCAGGTTTGCTCTTTCATGAACTTATTGAATTTACTTGAAAATTATTCAAGCAATTCAAGAATTCTGCGGTTGAGGGAATCCACCTGAAAAGACAACACTGAAGTCTTTGATGGCAGTAACATAGGGACAGGCTGTGATTGCTGCATATATTCGCAAAACAAAACAAAACAGGACACCTTTATCTGGTTGTACCTTTAGTGCTGAGGACACAACCTCTGAGGACACTTCTTCCAAGCCCATCTCTTGTCTCCTCTCCACCCGAACATCTGCATAACTGATTGCAAAAATACGATTTTATGTTTCAACATTATACTGCTATATTTCATAAAATATGCTTTAAGCAAACAAAGACACAAATTATCATAGCATTTTACAGGATAATGAACAACTGAAGATCACTTAAGTCACATTCTTCTGCACAACATTTGAGATACATTTGAGATACCATGTTTTAAATTTAATTTTCTGCTCAGTTCCTCTATTTGTGGAGTTTAGAGATATATTAAAGAGCTGAGGTCACATTTGTATCATGCTTCAGAACTTCATTAGAAAGCTTCCATGCATCTCTTTTAAAAATCAACATAAGAATTTCAGGAATCGAGCAGTCAAGGCATCTGTTTATACCCTGGTGTTACACAAAATGGAAAAATGCAGCAGTTAATCTGCCCGTAAACTAGTGGTTAATAAGGGAAACTTAGCACAGCATAAGGCTTAGTGTGCTCATTTTTTCTGTAGTAAAGTTATTTTTTTTTTATCCCCCACAGAATCCAGACTTAATTTCTGTTACATAAAAGACACATTCATGTTTCTAAGAGAAATGCTTGCCATAATTAGAACGCCCTTATCTTACTGCCATTTAGGTCCCTGCCGCTTGCTGCGACTACTGTGGTGCCAAGTACGGCTGCTTTGCGTACCTGACTACTGTGCACACGGCCGCTTTCCATACCTTACTACCATGTGTGTGCACACAATGAACTCCGGCTTGGAGTTCCACTGGTGGTACGTGATGTAGTAATGGGTCTGCAGCCAGATCCACTGCTGTCCTTTGGTCAAAAACCGGTAGCAGCAAGACTTCCCCTTGCCAAACTGCATCACTGCCAGCAAAAAGACACACAACTTGTAGCGCGATGTGAGAATGACGCAAACTGTGAAAAGCGTGGTGAAAATATCCATGGCCCACGTCCTGGTCCCTACTGGCTTCCAAGGGAGGTAGGAGCCTAAATACCTTTTGAGTGTGTGGGCCTGTGACTCTAATGGTAAAGCAAACATCATAAAGAAGAATAGGTGTCTTGTTTTGGTACTTTAAACAGTAAATTCTTAAATAGTACAAATACCTTTAACTCTGGACATTAATGCATTAATATCTTCTGTAACTTAAGTATTAACCTTTGCTTGCTTTGTGAGCTGATTGCCTACTACCTAATTAAGCAGCTGGGGTTAATTTCTAAGAGTTGTCATCTGAAGTTCTAAACCAGAAAAATAAAGGGTAAAAATGCTCGAAAAGATGGATGTTCTGTGCAGATGGATTTCAGTGACAATTAAGAAAGAAGTGAGTATATAGGGTAACATCATGCTAAGATAAAAATCATTTGGAACAGAAAGAAAATTCCTAGTGTGACAAGAATTGAAAGTGCAGTAAGCTGTGATGTACCTAAAGGTTTTAAGGATTTATGGACCAAATTCATCCCTGCTTTTTCCCAGTGATTTCAAGGGTTTCTCACGCATACACATTTTAAGACTTTTTAGATTTTAAAGCCAACGCAACCCCAAAACAAACCAACAAACAAACAAACGTGGGCCATGCATACTTACAGTGTTCATGGCACCTTGCTAGCAGCTCTAGGTCATCTATATGGTAATAGTCGTAGCCGGACGTACCCAGCACTTCAAAAGGCAAGTATCCAATAATTGGCGGTGCTCTGTATTTGGGCACAATATAAGTGAATTGGCATGGCCGTGAAATGAACAGCAGTTGTGCACATTGCTGTGGGTATCCAGAAAATCCTGCTCTCATTGCCATGTCTGGCCAGCCACACCAAGGGACTGGATCGTGACTGCCCAGGTGCCCTGCTGGGGATGCCCTGAAGTTGGGGCCTAATGCAGGCTCCCAAGACACGGCCTATGAGACCCTCTCCTTTCCAGAAAAGACAGTTTCTAAGGCATCTTGCACCATGACGGGCTCTCAGGGGCCCTGGGGCTCTGCAGAGCTTATGCGGTTGCCTTGTCCTCTCGCCAGCGTGGTTGTCCCAGGCCAGCACAGACTTTCTCTCCATAACGCAGTGGGAACTGCACACATAATCAGTGGTCGAGTTTTGAAATGATTTCCTCCGCCATGTAACAAATAGGCCTTTTCTGTCATGTTACAGGCTTTGGCCTATTGATATTTTAAAGCAAGTAAGAACGGGTTAATTGAAAATTCTATCTGAGAAGTAGAGTGATTTTGTTTCAAGAGTCCATTACAAATAAATGCAAGTTAAAATAGTAAACATCACTTTTCTGGGAATTTTAATGGTAGCCCTACTTTTCATTTGACTTGGATGGGAAGCATAACTCTATTTCAGAGAATCGTGCTTATGAAAATAGCAGCAAACAAGCACAAAACACTATCCAGAGTGCTTTTCTTGCCACCAACCTGTGATCCAGGAACAAAAATTTCCACTCCAGACTGTGTCTTGAAGTGAATTCCTCTAAAGGTTCTTCAACTACGCACATCTCCTGTATGGCAAAGAAAACCTACTTAGTGAGAGTCGTAGCTTCACGTCCCCGCTTCACACACCTTTTGTTAGCTATAAATGTACAGTACATAAGAAGATAATTCATACATCCCTTGCTAATTCCAAAGAACATTTTATTGTATTTATTTGCCCACATTTCTGCACAATACATCCCTTGCTAATTCCAAAGAACAGTTTATTGTATTTGTATTTCTGCACGGTCTGGAAGGGAATGGTGACCAGTCGTCAAGGTGCTGAGGTTTTCCTCAATGCATGGAGGACTAAATGGCTTTTCAGGCCTGCAGCTGATGAGGGAGAGCAGGGAAGCCCGGGAGGGTCCCATCTGCACTGCACTTGGGTCTCCCTGCAGCCCCATGTCAACAGGCTGCTCCCTCCTCCCTGGAGTCACCCCTCAGGCCATGGACTCCATGACACCCTCCTGTCATGCCTCTGCTACCCTTATTCCTGCTCCCACCCTTTGAGAGAGAAGTCTTTCGGGCCAGCAGGATTTCCAGCCCTCTTAGGAACACAGAACACGCTGAGGTGACACTGCCATCAAGTGTTTCTTTGATATATATTAATACTCGCAAAAGTGATTAAAGGTGCTGGCTGTACACTGACAAAAGGCATCACATATCTCTTTTTCCTCTCTCCTTCCCTCTAGTGTACAGCAACATCAATGCTGATCAAGTTCAGGAGGTGTTCAGGTGCAAGCATTGCCATGTAACACCAAAATGACAATTCTGTCTTACCTAGACAGTCAGACAAATATTTCTGACCTCATTTTAGAGGAGGAAGTCAGGGCCATGGGTTAAATGACCCACCCAGGGGAATTTAGGAGATTAATGCTTAGGACTTACTGACAGCTACAGCCTTCTCTGGGCTGTTCAGAAAGAGCTTTCTCCCTGGCACTGTGTTTTGAGATGTTAGCTGCCCAAAGATATGCATATTTATTTACAAGGATCCCAGAGCAACCTTAACTCTGGCCTTTACTAATATGATTACTGTGCTTAAGATTTATGGAAAGTGTCCTCACTTATCCAGAAAAAAATCTCCATTTGACTGTCATGGCTATGAATCAGTCGAGATTGCTCTGAAAGGTCCCCGTGCAGTAATAGAGTCACGCCAAGGGAGCAGTGATTTCATACAGGTTTTGTCTCAATTAGGCTTTTTAATCTCTTAACCTCTGAGGACGTTGATGAGGAAACTGCAGTGTCAGACACAAGGCTAAATGTTCTGTCTTTATTTCCAGAAGCAACTAACGCTATTTTGGTACCGAGATTTGGGAGGAGGAAAACTAGCAACAAAAGACATCAAGGAACCCAAAGGAAAATACAGGTAGCCACCTCTACCCTGTCCCACTGCAGACCTAACAGAAAGCTACAATGAACAACATAATTTTAAAGTGGAATTGCAATTCTTAACGCGAGTAGGGTCTACATTTCCTGCACAAGGCAGGGCAGAAATGATATTGTTTTTACGCCTCCTGCTCACACCGATAATCCTCTTCACTGGATTTTTTATGCATGAAATGTGATATCTGTAATCCATTCAATTAGCAAAATTAAGAATTTTGCATGTACCCGGTCTGGAAATGCTTTGAGAGTGTCTAAAAAGACTGGGATCCAGCTGTGCTCTTACCTTCAAAAACTGAGGGGTTGCCAAACGAACAGTAGCAACGAAGCAGATCTGCTTTCCTGGTGATGTTCTGTAAGCCCTTGGAGCAGCATCATCAAAGCCATTGCAAGTGGAGTTAGGCACTAGGCATAGGGAAAACAAGACCCCGAGTCATGCCTCATATGAGATTTACTCCCCCTGAATATTTTGCACACTTGAAGAGTGCTAATACTAATTTTATTCAGTGAAGTGCTCTAAAAGCTTTTAAAGCTGATATGCATATATTTAAATCCAAGTCAGTCATGTTAGGCAGAAAGACATCAGAGCTTAACTTCAAGCATGAATCTTACAGGTTAATCCTGATAAAAATAAGGCCAAACCTTATTAGAGAGCATAAACCAGCTTTCTGGAGAGAAACCCCACACATCCAATTGCTCCTTTTCACCACTCACAATAATCACATATGCTGCAGCATGCCTAGCACGTTACTTCCACGAGGCAGAGGAAAAAAGTGTTGGCAAAGGAGGGAGCTGAAGAGCACTCTGCAAGTCATCAGTGGCAAAACGCTGAGGACCAAAGCCAGGAAGGCTTCACTGAGCTAGCACAAACTGCTCAGCTGCAGAAATGTGTGTTCCTACTCCGTATTTAAGGAGAACAGACCCCAGTGTGGTCAAGCTTTTTTTACGAGAAATGGAGGGTCCCGTGTATAGCACTAGCATCCAGAACTGGCCATTTTTTGTAGGTCTGCAGATGACCTGCTGTCTCTTGAAGGCCTAGACTGAAGGAAAGAAAAAGGGATGAGGTGTGGCCACAGATTTTGTGCATGTTTGTTACGCCTTTCGTGACTGCATGGCTTTTGTGTTGCACTGAGGGGCCTTGAGTACCTACTGACTTAGTGCTGCATCACCAAGAGATCAGGTTGCCTTAGCTTAGCCCAACATCCCATGTTATGGTGACATCATGCCAATTCTTCATCCAAATTTGGGCTGTTGAGGGATTGCAGTCCTGCTCCCATGACAGTGAAGGAAAACTGAGCATGAAGCTGTGGTGATAGCTGGGCTTTACTTCAGTAGCCTAAATTGTACAGATGGAGGTCTTGACCTAGTTATCACATGTGCTTTTGGAGTCCAGTTCAACCTGTCACAAAGTCTTAACATAACAACGTAAAGCTGATAACAAGGATAGCCATGTATGAGACAGAAAAGTAAGAAGTGCTCTGAAGAGAAGGGTTTTAGACTGCTATGTGCGCAAAAAAATATATATCACCAAAAATGGGGAAAGAGATTCCACATCTGAGAAAGCAAGGCAGATGTGAACATCTGAGTCTTGAGGGCATGGCTTACAAGATACTAAGATAAAAAAAATGCGGAAGAAATTTTCATCTTTTCACAAGCAAAGCACACTTGCTCTGGGACCCTCCCAAGAATATGCATTTGGATTCTGCTCCTGGGCTGAAGGTGCCTGTGAGAGGTCTTCTATGGGACTATTATCCCAATACGTGGGAAAAAGGGAAAAGAATTAAAAGCTACAGAACCCAGTTGAACTCTGAGTAAAGATTTACCTGCTCTGCTCTGATACTCAGTTGATTTTGGTAGTCAATCCTGCTTAAAAATTAATGGTAAGGCTATACACCCAAGTGAAGTGCTGTTAAGAGCTACTTCCATGCTTTCTACCTAATAAAGTGGTCACATTTAGACCTTATAAGTCAATGGAGCAGTTTCTCTCTGTAATAGTCAGGTTCAGTAGCAAATGTTTGCAGGCTGGTCACTAAGAAATAAAAATGAGATAAGCACATTCACTGCTCTGAAGCACAGGTATGATAATTTAACCTAGTTAGTGAAAGCATGACCTTGCAAACAACACCAGTTCCAGAAGAAATACAGAATGAAATGTGAGATGCTCTGGAGAGAGTGGATGGCTTTTTTACTTAAGCTGGTTGATGTAAACAACCTTGAATCTGAAAAAAAGTTCCCAGAAAACAGCAGAATGCATCCCTTAATGTTGCTTTGACAAAATAGAATTTTATTTCCAAGAAGGAAATGCAGTACCGGCAGGGCAGTAATTGTCATAAAATCCAGCTATTTGGCAAATTTGGCATTTCATCACTGGGAATGCTGAACTTGGAGGCAGTGAGTGAAGAAGCCTGGGGAGGTGAGGTAGAGGCAGCCTGGCTGACGTCCCCCAGGCTTCGAACGGGTACTCAGCCTGCTCCATGCTCAAATGCTTTCGACAAGGTCCAAGGCACTAAAAGCCTAATAGCAGCCTTCAGAGTGCAGGTAACTACCAGCTTGAGAGGTACCTCTGAAACTGGAAATAACAAATACTTGAATTGAAATACTTGAATACTTTGAAAATAACAAATACTGTAGCTGAAAGGGACAAAAACTACATTTATTTCTGAACTATTTTGCTTCTTGAATTGTTTTTGTTAGTATTTTGAACTTTTGACAGCTCTGCAAAGCCTATTTTACTGTTCTCTTGCACTTCAGTAAATTTCAACATTTTCTACTGAGACCTTTGAAAGTGTTATCAAAAAAGGGATAATTACATGTATTTTTTTAAAACAGAATTCCTAACATAGCCTTTTAAACAAGCCTTCTGAAAAATCATATTCTTCATCTCTAAAAATCCTTTGGAAAGAAAAGGCACGAGGTCTTAAAGTAGCAAAGTTCAGTAATTAACTTTCTGAGAGCACCACAGAAAAATAGTCTAATGTAAAATATAAGATGGAGTCTAAAGCTATGACAATACTGTCTTTTATATGTCTAATAAAGATCCATGGGTGCTTAGAAGGCCTCTGACAAAAATGTTAAGCTGCCTATAAACAGCTGGGGAGAGGTGTATTTCACATTTAAATGATCTGGACAAAAAAAAATCCTGAATAGAAAATTATGAGGTTATGTGGCAGAGCAAAAGACATGATCAGAAATGTGAAACAGTTGTTTTGTGTATATTAGTTAGCTGATGCTCCTCAGCATGAGTTTTAATAGTTGTGGTTGCTTATCATGTCTGCTTCTTCTAGAGGTACAACATAATTCTTTGGCAGAAGAAGTATTAAACTACCTGCAAATATAATAATACAAGAAGGTAGAAAGAAATCAATTTGCATAAATACAGGGTTTTAAGAAAAATGAGGACCAGAAACATTAGGGCTAAGATGTTAATACTAAGTAGATTATAAAGAACCAAGCCTTTAACCATCAAAGAAACAAAGATTTTTATCTCTGAAGACACAAAACATGCCACATGAGATGAATGAAAACATGTTTAAAAAAATCCAGATGCTGCATTCTTTGTTTAATAAGTGTACAACAGTCAATTGCTCAGACATTTTAACTTAGGATGTTTAATTTTTTTTTCTGTAACAGCAAATCTCTCATTTATGTCATTTGAAAGATGAAATTGCTCCTTCCTATTTCGGCAGTAGATGTTAAAGTTTAAAGCACTAATCTTAGCCATTGTTAAACAAACAGAAAGCAATTGAAAAAAAAAAAAAAAACTCACCAGCCAAACAGACCAGAATAAGGAAAAGTTTGTTTCTTATAAATAAATTCAGAACCTGGATCAACGGAATATTCAGTAATTAAAATATCTAAAATGCTAATGGCAAGCAAGGCTACACTTGGACTTGGATGAATAACAGTGATGGTGACTATTTGTTTATTTTGCTCTTTTTCCTCCTCTTTCCTCCTCCTGTTTCTACCCCTACCCCATGTTGATATAAATCCCATGTAAATTCTTTAGGATAAAAATTATGTCTTTTTACATAAATGCCTGTAGAGTTCCCACCAGAAGAGATGCAAACTGTGAGCTGCAGCTTCTATTATAGTGCTAATAGCAAATGGCAATAAGCAACTGCTGGTTTTGAGCAAAACATTTATTTCTGTTTGGGTTATTCTTGTTATCAGATGTTTATACATATGCTTATGTATGCATGTGCATCTATATGCTCAAGATCAATATAATTTTATATAAATCTGTTTGTTTCCTTTAAGAGGGAATTCAGATTGAATTAATTGCTCTGGGAGTGAAGAGAATTTTTTTTCTCCCCAGCGTAATAATTTCCTTGATGGTTAATCTTCTCTCTGAGACGTATATTGGCTAACAGGAGACTATCTGCTATAATTAGCATCCAGTAACCAGATACTTCTTGAGTTCCCATAAAATTGGGAACATGAGATACACAATTTGAAATTCTACTATAATATTTCATTTTATTACTTAATCAGGAATTCTTTTTATGCAACAATTATTTCCTCCTTTAAGAGGAAAACTTCAGGCATTTTGGATGAAAGGTCAGATCTGTCACTTTAAAAAAGCTGGTGTTTCTTTTTATTCTGATGAGCGCTTTGAAAGGCAGGACTCTAACTTTGCTTCTTTGGGGAATTTCTAAGCAAACATATCAGCTCAGAAATACCAAAGCCAATATTTAGTTATATGATTGTGAGGGACTCTTCTGTGTACAAACCCGCAAACAATTTTTAGAGGAGGGATAAATCCAGCTTGCCTTATCTTTTCTTATCAGAGCTAGCTATTAAGCTGCTTTGTCAAATAATTTATTCTCACTTTAATTTGGCATATTTTGTTAGGAGCTAAATATTACCTTGCCTTTTTTTTTTTTTTTGAGGGGGATGATCTTTGCTACTTGCCTTCCCCATCAGCCCTCAGGCAAAACTGGATGGGGGCCGCTGTGTTAGTCTTTGGTAACTCTGTCGTGCCTGTTCCCGAACATGTGCTGCTGGCCAACAACTATAGTGATGGCTGGGTATATGCAGATTTTAACTCTTGTTAAACTCTAAATGTTGGGAAAGGCTTTAGTTGACTGAGTGGGGACTAATATATGTTGGAAGATCTTCCCATTTGCAAATCCCGCCTCCCTCCCCCCCCCAAAATCAATATCTGGGGAGCGAATAGTCATTTTTCCTCTAGAAATAGAGAGGAAACTCTGCCTTCCTCTTCTGAGTGACCCACTGGCCATCTGCCCTCCTCTCCGGAGAGCGCTGAGCCTTCGCGCCAGGCTGCCGTCCTGCTTTCCTCACTGGAGCCTAATTAACGGTGATTATATAACCCTCCCAAACGGAAAATCA